CAAAACATAATATTTACTTCATGCTGCATCGTTGATCTTGCACTTCAAATGTTCTCAAGGTTTGTGGCTGAGCAAAGCTGTTATATTACTGTGAAAAGACACTTTACACCCACAGGTAAGGTGATTCATCCCTCAGTTGTTGCAGCAGTGATGGAAATTATATTTGCTTTAAATCTTTTCTTTTTTTCTGTCCTTTGATAGTCAGTCTCCCACTTGCAGTTTGATAAATCTACTCAGACTTTTATACGGCAGATCTTAAAACGGGACGCTATCTAACTTTTACTCATGTCCCAGGTTCTGCCTTTAATGTGTGCTGAGTTAGCTGATCTCAGTGGATGTGCTAAGATTGACTTCAGTGCCCTGAGTTGCACAGGGGCAGCCAGGGGTTGCTGCTCCTGATCGCTAACCTCTCTGCCTCCACCCTCTGGAACTCCATCCCGCAATCCCTCCGTCTCGTGCCCCTCCCTTGCCTCCGTCAAGACCTGTCTCAAGACCCTCCTCTTCGACCGTGCCTTTGGTCTCCCTCCTTCCCGCCACTCCCTGCCCTCCACCCCATCTGATCCCAACCACCATCTCGGGTGCGGATCCCTGACTGTCCAGCGCCTAGGGACGTCCTCCTGACGTGAAAGGCCCCATGCAAAGGTAATTTGTTGTTGTTGCTGTGGAGGTGCTTGTGACTGGACATCGGGTAAGGACAGCATCGGGTTCTTCTGAGATGAATTCAAGGTCAGGTACGCTGCCAACACTCACACATGACTAATGATCATTTGAAAGAGTGTACGGGGGATGTTCTGTACATGGCTATTCCCAGTTGGGGAGGGGGCAGGAAAAAGGAATTAAGAAGGCTCAGGAGAGGGGGGGATAAGGAGAAAAGGGGGAATAAACAAACTGCCATACAGAGCAGTTAGTGGCTAAGCAAGTAAAAAAAAAGCAATTGTGGCATTAATCTGTAGCTAACAAAGGATGAAAATCCTGCCTTCATCACTCAATAATTAGAATTTTGCAGAAAGGAAGTACACATATAGTGACGTCTTGTCAAACAGAACAAGTTTAAAAATCTATTTCTTAGCAGCTAGCTATTCATGAGACACCGTATGTTATCTGGATGTTTTGTTCAACACAGGTAGTTGCTGTATGTGACTTGGTTAACCCATGCAGCTTTCCTTGATTTTGCTCTGCTAGGTTTGGATACCTTTAAGCACTTCTTCCTATTATCTAGAGATTTGGGGATTTAGGAATATAGGAACTTGTTTCCACAGGATTCAAGCATGATATTAAAACTGAGAGTTTTAAGTTATTCGCCATCAAAACCACAGTCATTCCACCTTACAGCAAATTACTGTGAAGTAGTTTGAGACATCCAATGTGAAAAGTGTTGTATCAAATGCAAGGAGTATTATTTATTTAATAATATTCCTATTATTATTGTTTCATAGAAATGATCAGGTGCATTGATGAGTTTGAAGATATTAACTGTAATTAGTTCTTTTCCTCTTCACCCCGCTTTTTGTGGGTCAGCTGGATGTCTGATACATGAGGAATACCCATCACCATGCTTAAGCATCCAAACCAGACTGATCGTTCCACAAATATATGCCACTTGTGTCTGGAATGAAATGTACTCTCCCCCTCTCGCCCTCCCCGGGAATTATTAGGCCCAAGTTGACAAGAGACAGTTTTGGGACTGCAGGGTGTGGGTTGGGGTTACTGCTGGAGTTTTAACCTTCGATATTCTATTGGTTATTATCATCTCGAATCAGTGAGTGCTGTGTCCCGATTTACCTTTGCTCTGTCACCACAGTGCAGACCAATCCGTTCACAATGTGGGCTCACAGGTGACTTTCATTTGAACCCATAAATAATCTCTTGGAAGTGGTAATCTGTCTGTAACAAAGTAATTATTCATGGTTTACTGTGGAATGTTGACAATAAACACCCAAGATGAATGAGACAGGAGCTAGTTACTTTCAGTGACGTATCTCCCAAGCTCATAAAACTGTCCTACCCATATATGAGTTTAGTGACTTCAAGGCTGGCGCCTCTCTCTCTCTCTCTCTCTCTCTCGTGTGCTAGAGTTCTGTGCACGCAGTAAATAGTTTTGCTTTTAGTTTCTTGTGAAATCTGACCTTCATGTGGCAGGCTCCTCCTTTCGTTCGGAACTTTTTAAAATTAGCCACAGTATTCAGGAAAGAAACACACTTTTTCCACAACGTTAGGATTACAATTTCTAGCCGGTAACCTTGTCTGTTATTTTGAGAAAGGTGAGCAAGGTTCTCTTATAGGCTACGTGGGGGACATTCGAGCGGAGGTTTGATCAGGAAGGTCACCTTTTCTTTTCCACTTATAACAGAAGCCTCACTTGTCCCATCGCTGTCAGGGTAAGAAGTTGTTCAATCAACTGTGATGGTCCAACAATGGGTTCATTTGCATTGTTGTCTTTCAGCTTTCTGTAGAAAACAAATGACTCGATTTCCCTTTGACTCAAAAGTAGTGTCTGGTTCATTTTGGTTTGTGTTTGTTGTGTGTCAGCCTGGCTCACTGGTAGCACTCTCGCCTCTGAGTCAGAAGGCTGTAGATTCAAATTCCATGTCGGGACTTGTAATCACACGTCTAGGCTGACACTCCAATGGAGTGCTGGGGGGTGGGTGTTGCATTGTGAGAGGTGCCGCCCTTTGGATGAAACGTTAAACTGAGGTCCCATCTGCCTGTTCAGGTGGGCGTTGAAGATCTAACGGCCTATTTGAAAAGTGAAGGGAGTTTCTCCCGGTGTTCTGGCCAAAAAATCCCCGAATAACTCAACTCACTCCATGGCTGTTTGTGGCCAAATCGCTGTACACAAATTGGCTGTGGTGTTTGCCCACAAAATGCAGTCATTTATTCCACTGTACAGTGTATCCTGTGAAGTTCTTTGAGACGTTTCGATGACTTGATAAGGGTTATATCAAATGCAACGATTATTATTATTATTAATTTACCGTTAGTTAATCTGCGTCAAAACCCACGGAACAGTGGTACAGAGCTTTCACTAATCATTGTGAGCAATGGGAAAATCATCTGTGACATACAGTATATGCTCATTTTACAGCGAGCTCAAAGGCAAAGTGACAAATTGTGCTGGTGTAAATACAATACAAAATTACGTTTGTAGAGTGCCTTTCGCGTCGGGAGGACATCCCAAATGTGTGAATGTCTCAAATCCGAGGATTCTCCTCAATCTTTAGTCCCCCACACCCACCCTACCAGCACTGCCCAACATGTGCAGCAAATGGTCATATGATACTGCACAACCCTCATCCAAGTTAAAACACAGAGATCTTGTGTAACAGGCAGATTCACGTTCAGTTTGAATCAATGTGATCGCTTTGAACTGACAAATGGGGTATACTGTAGTAGCTGAAACTATTTTGATTCTTTTAAGCTTTGGTCAGTTCTGAATTTAGTCTGGATTTACTCCCAGTGTCTTTAAATATTGCCATAAACCTGTTGGTTGATTATACTGTAAGTCTGCGTGGACATTTTTGACTGAATCCATGGCAGAAAGAGACAAGCTATCAGGAGTGCCTTATCAATGGCTTTCGAAAGCAAACATTCTGGTAGGAATGTGCCACTGGTGGAAATTTAGCATTCAGTAAATGGTGTTACAGTTGAATTCCACACTCATAAATTACGACAAGTTGGTTCGGCTGTTCTGTGGTTTGTTGTGTCTGGTTTGGTTCCTACTTTGAACGTTACAGTTGCACTTGGTCATTTTAAGGCTTGTTTTCACAGTCTGGCCATACCAGTAGGATCCCTGTACGCTGCAGGGGAACAGACAAAGCAAAGTGAAAGCCATGAACAACTGTTATCAACAAGCAATGGTTTAAAATACGTACATCAACCAGACTCGTACTGCTGTTAATATCTTCTTCGCAGTTGTTTTAAAAATGTGCAGAAATCCACTTTGAAAGTTTTGCCATGTGTCTTTTTAAGACATGTGGCCTTGATATTCGACTTCCCTGCCCCCCAAAAAAAAGCTAGCGTCATCCCTCCTGCTCTTAAAGGGATGACTGATAAGTAGAATAAACAAGATAAAGGCGGCTGTTTGAGGGACAAAGAATTTTCAGATGGAAGACTGTCTTTTAGTGTGTACAGCCTGGAAATTTAGCTGGTTTAGAAAAAGAGGCGTAGTGGTGGTGGGAAACAGTGGTAAGACTTTTTTTTAAAATGTATTCCATCAGGGAGTTGTAGATAATAATAGAAATGACAGGTATGGAAAATCTTCAGGCTGCCTGGTTGCTTCAGTAATGAAATTGCACAATCAATTTGAACAGTGGGCGAGCTTTTGCAAGGCAACCTTGTTGTAGGACCCTACCTGCTTACATATCAACCGTGGAATGTAGCTTCGGTGACACTTTGAGGAGACAGATAAATAGTCCTTGTTTACCACATTCAGACAAGAGAATACACAAAGGATTAATTTTCAGTGAGCTATATCATCGGGGAGGTACAATCATACCTCAGAATGATGTGCAATTCCACATTACAGACAGTTCTGGTTATTTATAGTACGGTCGACATCAGAGATCTGGATAAAATACTTCCCCCCCCTCCCCCCCCCCCCCCCACACACACACTTCTTGCATTGTCACTTATCCATCTGGAATGGATGTCCAAACTGAAAGTTTAAATTCGTGCACAAATGATGAGTAGAATGACATTTGAAAATAAAAAAAAGGCAACAGTAGTCGTTTTTTTTGGAGCGCCCACACATTTTATTTATTTGCATTTTGAGTCTACTTTGATGTCAGAAAGATAATGTGTTCTTTATGTTCCAGGAAAATGATAAATGTTTATTTCCTCCGCTCTGCATAGGTATTTTCCCTCCCTCCCGCCCCCCCCCCCCCAACCCTCCTACCTCAGACCTTATATTTTACATTAAAATGCAGCTGTTGCTCAGAAGTTGCATTTCAAGATAATTCTCGCCGAACCTTAACAATAACATGGATTTTGTTCTGTTTCAGTGTCCTGACTGACTGCTTCCACCTTATGAATCGTTTACGATGGTGACATTATCATCGAAAGGGTTGGATCCCAAATTGTGATTTGATGGAATTGAAATCTACGTCTTGCGAGGAAGGAACGAAGAAGGTAGGTTACACAATGTACAAAATGTGTGTGGGGGTGGGAGATCGATGATGAGGGCGGGCGGCGGGTGTTTTCGGGGAAGTGGTGATGATGGAAGCAATGGTATCAAATTCTTGGAAATAAAAATAATCACATTACCCACAATTTCCACTCTTTTAGTATATAACGCTACAATGTACAAACTTTTAATTTTACCAGTTATAACATAGCTAACCAGAGATGTGTGAATCAGTCCTCTCCGCCCCACGGTGAATGAGTTCTTGAATCTTGCAAATGTCGATGTGGTTTTTGGGACAGTATTTTAGTTCAAATTGTGCATTTCTCGCGTGTTGTCACTAGATGTCTCTGCCACACTTTATTTGCAAGGCACACTAGCGGCATCTAGTGCTGGCCTCTCTGAAATCTGGAACATGAGCATTGCTAAGTGGCCGGTGAAAAGAGAATTGCAGGCTTCTTGTATTGTGGTTCTGTTGCAGACACCGGCACCTGGTTTCAACCAGGTCACTACTGATTATACAGCCCAGTTATTACTCTACTACAACAACAACAACATCATCAACAAATTAGACTTGTCTCGCGCCCTCCACGTCAGAAAGACGTCCCAGGGCACTGGACAGTCAGGGTTTTTTGGACCCTAACTGGGTGTTGGGTTCAAGAGGGGTGGAGGCAGTGGAGGTGGTAGTGTGGCCAAAGGCACGGTCGAAGAGGAAGGTCTATGGCCGGGGCTTGAAAGAGGCAAGAGAAGGGCTGAGGCGGAAGGATTGTAGGATAGAGTTCTCTAGTAGAGTTTTCACATACATACTTATCACACTAACTGGTGCCTTGGATAGCGATGATATTTTAATAGTAATGAGTGGATTGCCTTGTTGGCTCTTAATTACAATTAAAGATTGCCTAAGGGCTTCAAAACCTTTCAGTTTAAAATGTTTCCTTTTTTTGCTTCAATGTGAATCCAAAGCCAGGTGAAACTTCTCCTGAGAGATGGCCTCACACTTTACTTCTAAGCAATCGATTTACACTGCAATCCTTGAAGGGAGTGTGAGCCCCTTCCTTCCTTTGGCACATTGAAAATTATCGATGTTTAATTCTGCCTCAGATTCTGTCCAGATTCCCGTTAATGTTTTACTTTAATGAAAATCGTGCAAAGGTCCTGATTATTATTATTAGCCCCTAAAATTCTCGGGGCAGTTAATGCCCTGCCCACCTTCAAGGAATTGCTTTCATTGCAGAGTGTGAATTGCTTGGAAGATAAAACCTGAAACTGAGTTTGTTTCGACAACAGAATGGTGCGGTCATACTTTGGTATGAATTTCAGCAGTGCGAATGTTCTGCACTTTGTGGTTACTGTGCCATTTGCGAGCAGGATATTAAAGTGTTAAAAATTGTTTACACACTCCAGTCTCCAGTGGTAAACAATAAGTCACTGTGTAACTGTGTTGTTTTGGATGGTACAGCACAACCTTTGTAAATGCAGCTCATGCAATGAATTGCACAACAATACGATCAGGGTGTTGCTAAATATTCTCATTGTGGAAATTGTTTCCAGAAGTTATTTTGCCGCCCCCCCCCCCTTATTTCTTTTGTCAACATAAACAGATTGTGTAAGAATGTTAAACTGATAGAGCATTGAACTCTGTGTTAGGGTTCTGTTTTTGTATCCTGGATTTCAATTTAATTTGGGTTCAGCTGAACACAAGACTTTGCAAAGGGCAAGATTCTTGACACTTGACTCAGTTGAAAATTGGCGTGAACTGTGATGAACATAAGAGTTGGTGATGGAGGAAGAGGAGAAAATGTTAAAGTGGTCTCAACTGATATGTCTCTTGTTGGCCAATATATGGACCAGTGATGGTATGAGTTCTGAAGAAGCCTGCAGTCCAGGTGAACCTTGCTGCCTAATAATCCCTGTTGTAGATACAACCTTTTTCCCAACAATGAATTGAAACATTATCTGACTGTTCAGTTTTGTCAAGATCTCGGGGAGCAATCTCGATCGGTTAGTTGATCGATTCGGAATGCTTTGCATTTGGAACACTGTGTGCAGGTGTCGTCACGTTTTCCAGGTGAATAAAGTCTGTGTCGTATTTGAAAACCAGTCCTCCCCGCTTGTTAATTACATAATTAACACCTGCACATATGTTTTCACACGTGGTTAATGCATAGCTCAGCACATATTATACCTGAGATTCTACTTGAGGGTGCACAATAGAGCATAATGTATCAAAATATCAATAAAACCTCGTAATACACTATTATATTGGTCGGGTGCCTCAAGGATTATTATTTTTGGAGAGGGACCTTGAACAATGTTTAATTCAATGTTTAAAAAAAGGGCAATTCCAGTTTTATAAAAAAATCTGAGCTGATAAATCCTGTTACCTTTACTTTCGTTTTTATCTCATGACGAAAACTTCTGTGAGCTTCGGTGTTTTTTTTATATATTCAACAGACCTGAAAAGCCACACAGGTTATTAGCCTTATGTCCTCATGAAACTCCTCAGTGGTGTCTGGTTGATTTGTTTGCTGCTGTTTAGGCCCTTTGCTTTTTAACTGCATATTATCCGGGGAAAAAGTGAATCGCCAAAACCTCAGCTTCCTTGTTGTGTCCTTCGGTAACAACTTGCACTTCATATGGCGTCTTTCACTTAAGTTGAACATCTCCAAATGCTTTTCAGATACAATGGGGTGGGAACAGAGAGGGGAGGTAAAACATAGGCAACGGTTTTGTAATGATCACAGGAACAGGTCTTTGAAAGAAAGCCGTACTGGTAATTAATAAATAGGGCAACTTTTTTGCCATGCTTTAAAGGAGCATAGAATATTTTATATTTGATGATTTTTAAAAAATAATAATTGCTGTTTTCCCTCATCCTGCTAATGGCTAATTAATTGTGTTTGTAGCACAATTTGATCAAACTCTAATTTGAATGCAATTAGGATAGTGTTTTTCTGATCTGTTGGATCCCATCGGGCTTGCCACTCTTCAAGGATAAGAATAGTGACAGATATGATGGTGTAACTGGGTCAGGCTGTATTTGGGGAGGATCGCGCAGCTCAGTGCTGGAAACTCCTATCAAAAACAATGTGGCCATTCAGGAGTGGTTTCCTGGATATCCCCAAGTCTCACTGTGAGTCTTCCTCGTACCACGTGTGAATTAATACAGAACTTGAACTTTAACTGGAATGTTAAAAAAAATCCACTTTTCATTACTCGTTTCACGAAGATGACTTCATTAAGATGGCTATCTGTTTTCAAAAGCTATTAGCTAAAAGTCTACCTCAAACCATGCTTATAGTCATCATCACCATAAAACATGCCAAGATGTGAAGGGCAAGTTGTTGGTTATTGTTGTTGGCTTTCACTTTATGTGATAATTTTGGGGAGACTGGAAGGAGGAAAAGCGGATTGTTAAAATGATTCCATTCAAAGAGGGAATTGTAAACCTGTGATTTCTTCCCTATTGTAGTTGGGGTTGTCCTGGGTCACTTTAAACCAACAAGCAGCCAAATGTTCAGGAAATTTGTTGATTGTATTAGTAGATGTGTGCCTCGCAGTACACAGGGCAAATCAGGATCTGTTGTACTCCATACTTGGGTACAGTGTTGAGTGGAGCACATGCCGAGTATCATATTCAGTACAATAGCTCAAAGCATCTTAGGCAGAGGTCCTAGACCGCAAGTCACGTTTGTTAGAAGAATTGTCTATTATTTTCAGCTTAATTTAAACATCACTGAACAAATGCAAACCACTGTCAGCCTTGTCTGAAGCCCGGCTTTTGTGGTCAGTGCTGGCTTACTAATTTATTGTACTGTGGCGTATTACATCGTTTGTAAAACATTTGAGGCACAGTATTTGCCAATTTTGATTTGTCACATCGACTTTGATTAAAATAGTTTCCAACTGCTGCTTCTCCTAAAACAAAATTAAATCTATCAAAGTAAAAAAACTGATTGGGTGCCCCTAAAGAGATGGTTTATTTACTAAAGCAGCATGTGTTCAGCGAAGCTGCCACTTAGCATTTGTTAGCTCTTGTGCAGTTCTCAAGGTTTTGCCCTGACTATCACAGCACCTATCTGCAGTTGCACCTTATTTTAACATTTAACATTTACTTCCCTTTCTCATGGGTCCTCTTCCCAGTTCAAGTCGAGTAATTGGCTGAATTTTTTTCCTTGGTCTAGCTGGCCAACTGCCAGCCTGAAACCATTGTCTGAGTTGCTGATGATTGAAATTAACATGACATTTGTGCAGAGGTAATGGAATCCGTTAGTAATTAATTTCATGTCTCTGAGTAAGGTTCCATCATCTACCACCTCCGATCAGCAGGGTGTGGGGGGGGGGGGTCCCAGCAGGCAATGTATTGCAGTGGTTAGCCAAACTCTGTGTCAAATTTTAGTTTTGAAATCTTTTTCAACCAAAAGCTGGTAGTTTATCGTAACAAACGTCGTTCAATTTATTTTTCCAAAATAAGGCGGTGAATTCCAAGTGTATTTATAACATACTAACATTGGATTGAGGCGAATAGGTGGAATCTTGAGTAATAGTCGCACCCAATTCCTCAGTGGTTCCAGCAGCAAAAAACACTTGGGTTTTAAACACCTGGGAGCAGAAGGGGAGAGGAAAAACAAGAGAAGCCACACCTGTTCTGATCAGGGGCATGTCACTGCTGATTTGCCCAGAAATAAATAAATGTATTTATTGTTTAGCCATTTTTGTCATTATATATGTTCTTTATTTAGTGATTAATCAGGGTTTACTTTTCTTTAATTCTATTCACTAGCTTTCACTGGATTCTTGTTGAACTTCAAACCCCTCCCCACCCCTGTCACCCCCCGCCCCCCTAAAGAATATCTCGACAAAAACCCAGAGAATGATATTTGTTGGTGGGTTATTATTTGTTAGTTTATTTTATCGAACAGTGGCGACAGTCAATTTTTTTTAGCAATTCATTTGGTTCATTCTTGTCAAAGTGGAGATGGTTGAGACTCGGTACGTGCATGTGTTT